GGTGCAGGCTTGAGGCTGTGTGAGAGTGACTGCATTGTGTGCTGGGTGGTGGTGGTGTGGATAGGGGGTGTCCTCTGTGTGTGAGTCCCTGGCAAATGTATCTGGATGAGCTCCTGTGTGAGAGAGGAGGTGTTTGCTTTTAAGTTATGAAATTCTGGAAGGTGTAGCCCTAGGTGGACAGGCAAGAGAGAAGGATGTGGAGTGGTTGTAGAGGGTACCCTTTTATGAGTCCTTGCTGGGGTCCACCCTAGCCCCCCTCCCCGCTGGCTGGGTCTGTACAGTGGGTGTAAGGGAACAGCCTTCCCTGCTGGGTTACTGTGAAGTTGCAGGGAGGGTGCAGGGTCGGGATGGGGAGGGGAAGAGGAGGCGGGGTAGAGTGAAGGGCAGGCAGCTAGGAGAGAACCGCGAGTGGATGATGGGGGAGAGCCACCGGTCGGGGAGCATGTTGGAGGCGATGAGTCAGGGTTTCCTGTGCGTGGTCGAGCATCGGAGGGTCGGGAGGAGGGAGCGGGAGTGAAGGTGGAGTGAGTTTGGTGGGAGGGGACAGCATGCCTCTTTGTGGTGCTGGAGTTGCATATCATCAAGTGTGAAGGCCACAACTGCCTGTGTAGGCACCTGTTTGGGAGCGTCTGTGTGGTTTGTGTGCTTTCTAGGAGAGGAGAGTGTATTTCCTTGGTGTGTGTTGTGCGTTCATTTTTCGTGTTTGCTTTGTGAATTTACCTCTGTGTGCTTGTGTGTGTGATTCATCTTCTATCAAATTCAAGTGTGAAAGGAGCAGGGTATCCTTCCAGGGGTGAGGGGCTCCAGGGCAGGTGGGGAAAATCCCTAAGGAGCCTCTTTCTCTCATCTACACAATGTGTCATCTTGTAATCTGCTTGCTTCCTCCACAGTGGGTTCTTTGGGGAGCCTGATGCCTTCCCCATGTTCACCACCAACAATCGAGTGAAGAGGAGACCCTCTCCCTACGAGATGGAGATTACAGATGGTGAGTCTCCCCTGCCCCCACCTCCATAACCACCCCTGTTGCTAGACCTGTGGAGGAGGAAACCCTGGGACTATATAGGTGTCCCACATAGGTGGGATAGGCCACCTTGGAACCCCGAACCAGCAAAGCCCTTTTCCCTGAAACAGAGTTGGAGTGAAGCCATGGGTAAGGCTGGGAGGGTCCCACTCATAGTCCTAGAAAGACAGTTTATAGGAGAGGGACTTACAGTGGTGCTCATCCCAAAGCTACAGAGTCAGTTCTAGTCCCCACTCCAGGCTCATTCCTACCTCTGGGAAGGATCCTGGGGAGGGCAGGAAGAATCTGCTATAACTCCTGACATCTCAGGGAGCCCCTGCCCCTTCCCTCAATGCCTCTTTGGAGTCTGGAGTCTGCTCTTTTTGCCTGAAATTGCACCTTCAAGGGCCTGCTGCCAAGTCCCTACATTGTGTCCCATCACTATCTATCTCTTGTTCCACATTCTGGGCTGAGACCTGGTGTTCCCTGCCATCATGGATTCTACTCTGGTCCAGAGAGGCCTCAACACTTCTGTGAACTACCTGAGTATTCTTTGGCCCTAAACTTGAATGGTAGATTTGGAGGACCCCTTTCCTCCTTCCAAGGTTGACCTGATGTAACTGGGTCCCAGCACCAAGGTAGAAGAGTGGCCTCTTCAGAGCTTAGAGACTTTGAGCAAGTCACTGGAGTTTGAAAGGCTTCAGCCTGACTGGGGCTCCTGGGAGAAGGGCACTAGGCCCTCAGGAGACCTGGGACTTATGCTGGGAGCTGGCAGATGGTGTGTGTGTGTGTGTGTGTGTGTGTGTGTGTGTGTGTGTTTAGAGCACTTGAACTTCATGGGTAGAGCACTCTGTGGGGTTCTGGAGAGGAGGGGGCCAGAACCTCAGAAGTCCAAGCCTTCTTGGGTCAAGGGCATGTGGGACCAAGAGGGAAGGGTGATGGGGCGCTGCTGGATTAGAGAGGGTTCTCCAGCCTGGGAGAACTGGGGGTACCAAATAGAAAGTAGCAAGACCAACTCTGAAGTTCCTCAGGGAAGAGGCAGAAGAACCAGATGAGAGGGTTTAGGGAACTGCAGGTGCGGAGGAAAGTCATTATCCATAAAGTTACCAGTGTATACTAAGCACCTACTCAGTGTCAGGCCAGAGAGAGACAGAAGATGCTAGAAGGATGGACAGACTAAGGAAAGAGGAAGAAGTATTTTTTTTTGTGTGTGTGTGTATGTGTGTATGTGTCTCAGGAAGGAGTAGTTAGACATGTAGGTGAAGGGAAGGGTGTGGGGTGTGGGAGTGTAGGACATGTAGAAATCAGAGACTGAACCAAGAGTCCATAGAAGTGGAACAGTATAAGCTCTAGAGTCAGGACTTGTGGATTCTTATTCTTTACATTTCTGAGCCACAGTTCCTTGTAAATGGAGTGAATAATAGTTGCCTTCCAGATTATTCATAGAGTGTGATGGAGAAAAGTGTTTTTAGGGCCTGGTTCAGAGCAGGTGCTGAGGACATGTGAGGGCTCACCCCTCCCCTCCCTTCCTTTGCTGGTCAGGAAAATTGTGGAGGGATTTCAGGGACAGTAAGCCCCCTCCATTGAAACTGGGACTGCCTAACCCAAGGCAGACTTGAATATGGAGCACAGGGCTTTGCATATTGTAAGTGTTCCATATGTGCCCTGTGGCTGCTTCTGCTCTGCAAGCCTTGGTACCAGGATGCTAATGACTCTTGGGTTAAGCTTTAAGCAGTGCATTGTGGACAGGGAGACTGAGGCAGTCATTTAAAGCCTGTCTGAAGCCATAGACCATGACTATGCATGGCTGTCTCTCCTCACCTCTTCTGGGGAAGAAGCCCACAGGTTAATTCTTTTCCTTTCTGGTCTCTGCTCTACTTTCATCCCCCAGTCCCCTGCCATCTCTATGCTTAGTCACTCAGGAAATATGTACTAAAGCCCCTACTCTGTGCTTTCCATCACTTCTAAAATAAAATCCTCTTACATTTTACTACAGGGTCCTGCCTACTCCGACCCTGTGCCCACTATTCCAGCCATTCTAGCTTCAGCCCTTTCCCACCTCTGGGACTATGAACTTGACATCCCCTCTGCTTGGGCACTATTCTTCCTTTCCATGCCTGTGCCTGGCTGGCTTTGTTTCAGCCTTAAGTTTTTTACCTTATAAATGTCATCACCTCAGGAGACCTTCGCCAGCTACCTTAGCAAAGAGTACTAGCTCTTTTTGTCTTTTACTTATCATTTGGCCCCCTACTTTTCTTTTTAACTACTTTTTCATTGTCTCTCATACCCTCTAAATGTAAGCTACAGGAGGGCAGGAGTATATTTGTTCACCATTATTCCTTCCTGCCTAGGACAGTACCTGGGTTGTTAGTAAAAAACTAATTAATGGCTAGCAATAACTAACACAGTGTGAATGTTTAAACTGAGACAGGCATTGTGTTAAGTACATCACCTGTGTGAGGTATCAGACCCATGTAATGATCTTATGAATTTTCTTACCAGTATTCTCTCCATTTTATGGATGAAGAAGCTAAGGCACAGAGAGTTTAAGGGCCTTGCCCAGAGGGACTTGTCTAGGTTCAATTCAGGAATTTGAACCTAAAGGTTCTGGCTCTAGTTCTGTCTTGCTACATCATGCTCTTGGCACAAGTGAGATTGAATGATGTATGGTTCCTGTCCTCAAATTCTGCACAGCCCAGAGAGGGAGCCAAGCCCAGAAACATGTATATATAACAATCAAGAGTGATGGGGACAAAAGAGCAATAGGGTCATAGGGGTTGGTTAGATAGGTCTGGAGGGTTGAAGGAAGATCTCAGAGGAGGTGACAGGACCTGAACTTGGAAGGAGTCTCCTGAGTAACAGCAACAACAAAGTGTTCTGGGTCTCTCAAGCCTTCCAGTGAATGGAGAGCCCTTTGGGAGGAATCTCAGCTTGTTCTCCTAACCCGAGTCCTCCTACCCTTCAGGTCCCCACACCAAAGTAGTGCGGCGGATATTCACCAACAGCCGGGAGCGATGGCGGCAGCAGAACGTGAATGGGGCATTTGCTGAGCTCCGCAAGCTGATCCCCACGCACCCCCCGGACAAGAAGCTCAGCAAAAATGAGATCCTCCGCCTGGCTATGAAGTACATCAACTTCCTGGCCAAGCTGCTTAATGACCAGGAGGAGGAGGGCACCCAGCGGGCCAAGCCTGGCAAGGACCCCGTCGTGGGGGCGGGCGGAGGCGGGGGTGGGACAGGGGTTGGTGCTCCTCCAGATGACCTCCTGCAGGACGTGCTTTCTCCCAACTCCAGCTGTGGCAGCTCCTTGGACGGGGCAGCCAGCCCGGACAGCTACACGGAGGAGCCGGCACCCAAGCACACGGCCCGCAGCCTCCATTCTGCCCTGCTGCCCGCCAGTGATGGGGCCGGCCCCCGGTGATGGGTCTGGGGCCACCCAGGACCAGCCGGGAGAGGACCCCTAGGCCACTGGGATGGTGGGCTTTAGGGAAAGTGGGATGAGAAACAGGGCAATGGACTTTATGAAATTCCCTTGTGCTCTGAACTTTGGGAAGCCCCAAGGCTGGCTTTTCCCTTTCCTGCTCAATAGAACAGGAAAACGGATCAAAGTGGTAGGTACTTTTTTCTGAAGATGGCACGGTCTTCCCCCTCCCTGAAACCCTAAGACTTCCTAAGAGAGAGGCTCAAATGTCACTGCTTTTGGCCTGGAGTTTGGAGCCCTGTCTTGGCTGACACCTGAAGTTGTCTGCTGTGTCATCTGGGGTATCCAGCAGTCTCTGCCTTGCCATTAGCCCCTCCCAAGCTGGTTGGATGGCTTTTGTGGCTGCTTCTGTCCAAATATATAGGTACCCAATGGCTGCCCATTTCTTGAGCCCTGTCTTCACCCAGGCCCATGTTGATCCATCCAGCTTGCCAGCTGCTGCGGAGAGTCACAAGCCTTGAGGTGCCTTCTTCATGGCCTGGTTGAAGAAGTTGGCCATTTTGGACAGCCTGCTCCTGACTAGCTGGGCCAGAGGGTCAGGAAACCCAATAGCCCTTACTTCTTGCCCCGGGGATCAAAGTTCTTTCTCTCCACTGAGACTTGCCTTCCTATCCTGTGGCTGTGGAGATGGAGTCTACAGCCTTGAGCATGCCCTGTTGGGCCTTGTGTGAAGGCAGAGAAAGGGAAAATGATAAGAGAGTGAAAATGAGCAAGAGATTTTGGGCATGTGGGGTTCAGCTCCTGCATGTTACTTTTTGAGCAAATGCCAGTGTGCTGATGGGCACCTGTTGGTGCTGAAAAGGAAAGTGCAGCCTCATGCACATTCTCCTAGATGCTTAGAGGGTGTTCCCTGCTGCAAGATGTCTGCTAAATGATCTGGTCTTTCTTCTGAATGAATTGAGCACAAACTGTCCTATGAATTATTTGTATTTAAGATTTTTTTTCTTGATTCAGTTATTGGTGAAATCTTTAGGTCTGGATATGACCCAGGACACAGCCCCACTTCTAGGGCATGGGAAATCCAATCAGACACCAGGCCCTGGCTAAACATATGCATATTCATCTAGCAGAACTTTAAATACCGTGTGATTGTGCAGCTTTTTGTCATTAAAGGCGTGCAGGGGAGGCTGGTTTAATACAATACGAGTGTCCCCTCCAAAAGTTGTACATGGCATTTTTGTAAATCAAATCCTTATTCTTCATCTTTTAAAGAAATAACTACTGCAAGTTCTTTTGTAAAGTGAAGAATCCTTTTGTAGTGTGAATGACTGCCCCTTTGTTTATCCCTGTGTCCATCCAGGTGGTGGGACATAGTTTTCTGCCTGTGATACATTTCTAAGCCCATGAAACAAACTACACAGAAGTCCTCTGTATTTGTCATTGTACTTTAAGTCACCCGGCCCTCTCCCACCAGGCTCTGCCTTTGAGGTCAGAGAAAATATCCTGTCATGTAAGAACCCATCAGTCTGGCTGTTGGAAATCGCCTTTCCTGTTCTGAGTTTCAGCCCAGCAGCTTGCCCCGTGCTGTGATGAGGCCCTATGCAGGAAAAAAAAAATGATCCTGGCTCCCCTCCTTTCCTTTTAAGTTGTGAGGTCCAGTTCTTGGGCATGGGAACAGTATGGTTAATCATTGAAGCACTCTGACTCTCTATGTCATTCCAAACACCCCAAATTGTATTTTGATAAACATTAGGATTGGTTCCTTGCCAATGCTTAGAAGTTTCTGTGAGGAGTCTCACCCATGTAAAAATGGAGCAACTGTCCTGGGCTCTAAGACTGTGTTTGCTTCTCAGTGGATTAACTTGACGTGGGAATGAAAAGTGGTCATGTGTGGATGTGTGGTTGAATGACTGGGTTTTGTGAGATGGTTCACACATTCTATTGGGAATTCTTAAGAATCCAGTTCCCCTTTCTCTTAGACTTGTAATGTGACTGGGATAAGGTACCCACGTGTCACTTTCTCATTAATACCCTGGCTTGGTCTGTCTCCTAGGGCAGCTGTGTGGATCGAATGCAGTTGTGAAACTGGAAGAGTTTTGAGACCACAAAGAGCTCTGTTGCTAGCTGGGGGTGTAGCTCAGTGGTAGAGCACTTGCTTAGCATGCTCAAGGTCCTGGATTCCATCCCCAGAACTGGGGAAAAAAAAAAAACCATCTCTGTTGCCCTCAGTACCAGTCCTTCTGTGGGGTTCCCAGCCTGAGTCTAGGCCTGGGCAGTGAACAAGTAGGTCATTTAAATTATACTCCACTTTTGCTTGAGTTATGCAGACCCTCTTCATTTCTCCAGATTGTCTGAATTTCTGTCTCATTCCAAGGAAAGGGACGGGAGTGAGAGCAGAAAAGAGATTTGGGAGCATGGGCAGACTATGTAAAAATCTGATGGGGCTGCCCAAAGAAGCCTGGACAGGGAAGAGCATGGCTTTAGGTCTTTGTAAGAACTAAAGAAAACCTACATTTTCTGTTTCCATCTTCTGTTCTCCAGGCCCTTCTTTTTCTTTGCCTCCTTCTTGCCCATGAAGAAATAGCACACTCCAAGAATATCTGTATGAAAAGGAAAAAAAGTGTAAAGGTCAACATTTTGAGGAGAACAAAGATGAATGTAACTAGAGGGAATCCCATCTGTTAAGAACTCATACTGTTTTATTTGTAGTGGCAAATGACAAGATGGTACAATCTTTATCCTTTTCTAAAAATAAAGCAAAGGGCACAACATCTGTAGTCAGCCGACAGCTGTATCGGCTGTTTGGGCGGGTCTCTCCGTACTTGTGATTTCAGTGGTACGTGACCCTCTGCGGCTTGCCCCTGCCCGTGTACATAGCGCAGTGTTTCTGTGGGCGGGCCCAGCACTTTTGGTCAATGTTGTACTGTATGTGATGAATTTCGTTGGTCTCTGCATTTTTTCTGCAGAAGAGGAGTAACCACTCCGGGTACCTTGACCTTTTTGTACAGCCCAGAGGCCAACACTGTGGGTTTGTGACTAGCAAAAAAAAACAAAAAAACCCATGTGGTGATGATGATGTGTGTACATATATAAGGTTATATGGGGAAGATTTCTAAATAAAAGTTTTACAAAGGGGCTGGACTTTTTGCTTGCACTTTGCACCTCTAGGCCTGAGAATTGGGATATTAAGTGGAAAGGCATGGCAAGAAAGTGCTTCTTCTGAAATGGGGGAGCTTTCAGGACTCCGCTGTGCTCTTAGGAAGTGGGAGGCAGGGACAAGACTAGTGGGGAGGAGGGAGGCTCCCCACTGAGTGTTTCCATTCTCCTCCTGCTTGGGTTTAGCAGCATCTTGCACCTATGTTGGAAGTACTGAGCAGCTCTGAAGATATCCCCTCTGTTGGTTCAGCTTCCATAGCTGGGGCAGTAGCTTCTAGCATAGGTTCAGGACAAATTAAGGTGTTGTTATGGGAGGGCCCCAGTTTCCTGGTGACTGATAGGAAACTGCAGCTCTTACTCTTGGCTCTTGAGGACTGGGGTCTCAGGGACAGAGGCCAAAGACTTTGGAAGCCTCAAGTGAAGGCCCTGTGGTGGCATTCATATCACCTGGGAGGGCTGTCCTGGAGGCTTAGGAATGGGAATGTGGTTGGAGGCAGGGATTCTGAGTCTGGAGGAGATCACTGCATGTGGACTGTTCCATCCTTGAAGACTTCAGTAGGGTGAGCTCATTCAACTAAATGTTCATTCTTCTCTCATTTGCTTTTTTTTTTTTTAGTTGTAGATGGACACAATGCTTTTATTTAATTAATTTATTTTCATGTGGTGCTGAGGATTGAACTCAGTGCCTCACACATGCTAGACAAGTGCTCTACCACTGAGCTACAACAATAGCCCCTCTCATTTGACTTTAAAAAAAGCATGTATTTATTTATTTACTTTGGTTAGTGAACTCAGGGACATTCATTATATGTCTGAGTTATATTCCCACCTCTTTTTATTTTTAATTAAATACTTATTTATTTTTTGTACTGGGGATTGAACCAAATCGGTGGCACTTTACCACCGATTTACATCCTCAGCTCTTTTTTAAGTTTTTATTTTGAGACAGGGTCTCACTAAGTTGCTTAGGGCCTCACTAAGTTGCTGAAGCTGACTTTGAACTTGAAATCTTCCTGCCTTAGCCTCCTGAGCCACTAGGATTACAGGCATGGCCATTGTGCCTGATTATTTTTTATTTTGAGACAAGGTCTTGCTAAGTTATCCAGGTTGGACTGAAGCTTGCCACAGCCTCTTAAGTCCACTGTGCCTGACCAAAAAGCATTTATTGGTCACTTGCTATATTCCAGGGGTTAGGAACCCAACACTGAACAAAACCAAGATTTCTATTTTGTGGAGCTTAAATTCTAGAAGAGGAGACAGTGAACACAGAGACACACACAACTATAATGATAGATTGGTTATATAATAAGTGAGAACAAGTAATCAGTACAAATGCAAAAGGCTGTGCTAACAAGGGAATTGAGGCCTTCACAGGTAACTCAGTGAGTCTTATTTATCTTGCTAGGCTTTGGTCTTAGCTGCCCCTGCCCTCAGGGAGCTTCTAACCATTGTCAGGAAAGCAGAGACAGGATTGGACTTGGGATCATGCCGTATGCTCTGGCCTGTAGGGAGGCGCCTCAGTTTTTAAAAGACTCCCTGTGCTTCTCCCTAACTCAGGTGTGGAGGTTCCTGGGTAGATGAGATGGTGAGATTTGGCCCTGGGGTGGTAACTGGCTATGGATTTTGGGTTTATAGGCTTGAGAAGCAGCAGGATGGAGGGACCTGCCATGATGGGAGGGAGAAAGTAGTGTTCAAGACTAGTGTTCAGGGTGGAGGAAGTGGTGAGTCAAGTCCTCACCACTTGCAGTTGAGTGGTCATGTAAGCAAAGTTCTGAACATGTTGATTGAGTTTAGTGACATGAAGGATTCTGATGCCTGGAGTATCCCATATCCAGCACCACATATCCCATAATGACAGATGGGGCAGGACCAGCCCACCTGCCTCCCAAGACAGTGCCATTCCTGAGGCAATGGGGGCCTGTATCCCACAGGGAAAGGGCCACACCTGGGGCCTGCCCGAAGTAGCCTGCTGGTCTACCCAGCCTCTTTTTCACCACTCCCTTATTCTCTTGGCTGCTGCTCTACAATCCTTCCTTCTCTTCCAGACCATATTATTTTATTGTTTTATGACCTTCCATTTTGCACCTTTTGTTTCTTTCTTTTTTTTTTAACTTTTTTTTTTAGTTGTCAATGGACTTTTATTATTTTTATTTATTTGTATGTGGTGCTGAGAATTGAACCTGGTGCCTCACACGTGCTAGGCAAGTGCTCTACCACTGAGCCACAACTCCAGCCCCTGCACCTTTTGTTTCATTTCCCCAGAACGGCTCACCTGTCCTCTCTTCCCACTCACCTTTCATTTGGTTGACTTGTTCTCAACATCCGGGAAGCCGTCCTGATTCCATGGGGCCAATGGCCTCCTGACCTCACGGTTCCTGTTTTACCATAGTCCTGTATTTGTACAAAAGTATACTTTTCTGCTTTCCCACTGAAACATGAGCCTTTTGAAAGCAAGACCAGGTCTGATTTATCCCTTTGCCCTCAGAGCCTCAGGGTACCCCTGACATAGGTTCCTTTCAATATTTGCCTGGTGAAGAGCTTCCCAGCTCAGTTCTGAGTCCAGCAGGGAAGGGATGTGGAGATGGGTGGGAAGTGAGCCGTTCCTATACGGAAACCACACCATTGGGCTGGTCAGGGCCAGGCGAAAGCTCTGCCCTGGGCAGGCAGAGATGTTTGGGCTGCCTCTTCTGTTGGAGGAGGAGCTTTCTGGGACTGGGCTGCAGCAGTCTGGTTATCATAGGCCTAGTGGGGAGGTATGGAGGGATGAAGATGGGGGTATGGTGCTTATCTGATCTGCTCACAGCAGCAGCCCTGCCTTCTCTTGCTTTCCATGTTTGCAAAACAACTAACTGTTCCCCAGCAGCCAGCACTGCCCCTCCCACTGTACTGCTCCTGGGAGCCAGGCAACTTGGGGACACAGGTTCTGGTGCCTGGCAGTGTCCAGCAACAGGGGCTTGGCAATCATGAATCCAAGTAAGGAAAGAGATCAGGATCATCTGGGTTGTGTGTGTGTGTGTGTGTGTGTGTGTGTGTGTGTGTGTGTGTGTGATGGCAGGAGGACATGAGGTCTAGAGAGGGAAAGGGGCTTGACCAAGGTGATCTGGGATGGAATTCTGGTCTGTGTCCAGAGCCAGTGCTCCAGAATCTTCAGGAAGGAAGAAGAGACAGCCAGTATAGTTGGTGTTCTTAGAACAGATGGGTCAAGGCTTTGAAAGAGATGGCAGCTCAGCTTGTCCCAGCAGTCTGCTCAAGAGAAATCCAGGGGGACAGTGGAGAACTTGCCTGCAGTGATTGACAGGATAGGATTAGAGGTGGAGGACAGTTGATGTGGTACCAGTTCATGAAGGGTGGGGTCGGCACGGATGGGAGGGAGCAGGAAAGGCAGCTGGACCACAGGATGAGTCTGCTCTTTGGGATCAGAATCACCTGGGTTTAAGTTCCATCACTGCTACTTAATGTACTGGCTGTGTGACTTAAGTGAGTCACTTGACCTTTCTTTCCATTTCTTCACCTGTTAAATGATGATATGAACACTCATCATCCAGGGCTGTCATGGGATTTCAAAATGGTATTTGTCAAGTGCTGTATTTTATAGAAAGCAGCCATGATTATTCCTGGAAATGGGGTTGGGATAGAGCTGTCCTTGGGAATGCCAGAAGAGAGAGAAGGAAGAGAGGACAGGATGCAGGAACATTAGTCATCCCCAGCAGCAGAACTTCCTCTGGGCCTGCCCCATGCTCAGTAATGCTGGGGATCCAGCAAGGGACCACCCTGCCCCTGTCCTCAGGGGCTCACAGGCTGGATAGAAGTGGGGTGTAGGGGAATGGATACAGAATATTAGAACTACTGGAGACAAGTACTGGCAGAGAGAGTAGCTGGGGGAGACAGCTGCGGCAGCAGAGGCCTTAAGTCAATGTTTGCTGAACTGAAGGGGCCTGAGGAGTAGGCTGTGGAAGGCTTCCTAGAGGAGTTGCCACCACCTGTCCTGAGTTCCAGCATCTCCCAATGATAGAGGCAAGCTGCTCCAAGGATGACATCTTCCTTCCTGGATCCCATACTCCTGCCCAGGCCACCTGGAGTCAGGCAGGGCTGGGCTTCTGGAGCTAATGATGGCACTCTGACGTTGCTTCTGGCTCCTGCTTTCTCCCTCCACTTGCTTGGTCCGAGCCCTGCCTCCCTCCCCAGCTCCTGGCCTCCTCTGTCCACACAATAACAGGATGTGATCCGTTCGAAGAGAGGAAGTGGGGAGGACGGGCAGTGCTGATAGCGCCGTTCTGACTCTCCACTCTTCCCCTCCCCTGCGGACTAGCCCCTGGAGCTGCCTTCTCCTGCAGGGCTTGTTGGGCTTCCCCGTGGGTCCAGCAGGGGTGAGTGTGAGATCTTTAGGACCAGCAGGCTTGTTGAAGCCTACAGGGAGATATACACTGACTGTACCCTCTGCAGGGCCTGCCTTACTGGACAAGTAATTTTGGAGCTTCTGGAACCTGGGGGTGTGCAGACAAATCCCTAAGCTTTCATGTTAGCAGGGCTCCACCTGCCCTACAGTTTCTCCAGGTTCACGTGGGCCTGATCCAAATCAGTGGATGATAGAATCCATCAAAAGGCTCTTGTCAAGGGCTGGGGAGTCTTGCACAGCATATGGGGGCAATCTGCACAGAGAGGCAAGGGACTTGTCTAAACTCAGTGTGGACTGGGAGCTAGGCAGGAGCTAGAATCTGGGTCTCCTGGTGCTCAATCACCCTCTATAGGCCATTGCTGTCTGTAAGAACTTTCTGGGATGATGGAAGATATATCTGCTTATCTAATATGGTAGCCACTAGCCACCTGTAGCATTTTAGTACTTGAAGTATGACTAGTGTAACTGAGTACTGAGCTTTTAATTTTGTTGAATTTGAATTAACGTAAATGCAAAAGGCCACATGTG